TGTTGTAACTCGTTGCTTTTGCAGAACTAACTTATTTTTTGCATTTGAAAATGTGTGCAGCCGTAAAAGTCAATAGCATGGCGCTCTTTGGACGCCAATTAAATGCAGCCGTCCGACGTTTCGCGAGCGCTGCACCAAGCTCGGATGGTCACGAATCTTTTAAGGTATTTTATTGTTTCTTTCCTCGATCACAATTCACAAAACTCCATTTGGCATACAAAACGAATAATTTCAATTCTCATTGCAATGCCAGTTTTTTTGGCATTGATTCTCTAAGTTCGTTGAACAAAAGCCATGAAGTAAAGCGCGTTAAATTTTGATTGAACTCTGCAAAATGCAATCGCCGCGTAACTTTTTTCCGGGATTGAATGAGCTGAATATTCGGAAGCATTTAAGACTGCACTTAATCGACGTGTTTTAGTGCAGTGATCTGAAAGTCATTCACGCGAGTGGATCTCAATTGCGCCCAAAACCTGGACCAGGAGCAGTGCTGAAATTCGGCCACACTTTTTCTGATCACATGTTCGAGGTAATCGTTTCGTTGGTGCATCCAAATCAGTGTTGCTCAAACGCTGGTGTCTGACCAACACTATCCATCAAAAAATCCATTCCCTCATTGCAGAATGCATAACCCAGACATGTTGGATTGATTGTTTCCATGTGGATATGGCTTGTTTCAAGAGTACAAAGATAATTGTTTTTGCTGAAGTAACGCTTATGTGGGGATTTTTCATGAATGCTTCAAGTATTCAATTATGAAACTATAAGAAATTGCAATCATTCAAGAAGTGACATGTTTTCAAATGGTCACGTTTTGTTACAATTGAAAATTGTTGAATTTTTTGAGGTGGACTACTGCGAGACGAATGGATGGGGAAAGCCAGTCATATCACCTTTACATGATTTCGTTATTCATCCGGCTGCAAAGGTGACCACTAAATTTTCGAAAACTCTGTATTGCACGACGTAGCTCTGTTGTCGTTTTAACGCAGTATTACCTTTCCCCAATTAGAAAAGCCAGACTGTGCAATAGAATTGGTTTACTAATTTCGCATCCGTCTGCGGTCAGCAGCTCACAAAGATTCTAAATTCTCATACAGAGAGCTTTTGAGCGACTTTCTGATACTACACGTTGGTACATTTTATAATGCTA